CAAACAAAGGGCTGCCACAGACTGTTTCATCGATGTTTCACCGCCTGACTCATCACGAGGCTGAACCCTCTACATCAGTCTGCAGAGTCCCCTGACCGATGATAACAGTAAGTTATAATCCACACTGACCCCGGTTGCTTGCGGTTAAGCATCAACAACTGCCTCACCACAAGTGATCCCCTGCCAAGGAGGTGGGCACCGTCACCATTGCACTGCCCTCACCGACACACCAGATGGATTTGTACATATACATTCTTGCAACGCACACGTGTACTTCACACGGTTTCGCTTTGTTTTCACTTATCTGATTCCGCCGGGATTCAAACTCTGGTCCATCATTTCAACAGTTCATGGGTGTGTACCATCTGAGAGCTAGGCCAGTTGGTCTTCGCGTGGTGTTGACAGTTTGCCGTGCAAGATTTTGGCCAAAAAAAAAATAGAAAAAAAAGAAAAAGAAAAAAAAGAAAAAGAAAAAAAAGAAAAAGAAAAAAAAGAAGAAGATTTTGGCAATGTCTACGTCTCACGTGTTCTTTGTTTTTTCTTTTTTTTTTTTTGCCAAAATCTTGCATAAATAGGTCCTGTACTTCCAAGCAAACATGGCGGGGGCTTGAAAGGACAGGATGCACAAATAGGTCCTCGCTCCACTAGTCAACGTTCTACATGCATTTGGACGGTTTTCTGGACCAGGACGCTTCTCTGGAGCAGGTGCATTCGGATGAGTCCAACATTTTGAATGTATTAGGACGATTATGAGCTCCAGATACATATTATAGAGTGCTGTGTAGTAGTGGAGTGAGGCCCATAGTCACCGAGAACTGCACGGTGAGCCATAGGCAGAAAGGGAGGGGAGAGACGACAACAAACCTTTGCGAGGCTGTGACAGACTGACTCTGACTCTTAAGTTGAAGGGTTTTTTTAGAACGCTCTACAGTCTGTTTAGTCCCCTAACAGATAAATAGTACTCTGTAACTTAAACCACCAGTACTTCCTAAAGTCGCGCCCGTTAACGGTATGCGATTTTACGAAACGTACGGGCAACTACAGGAGCGCCCAAATTCATCCAACTAGAAACGTTTCTACTCTATTTTTTTTTCCGCGGCCGATAGCTGGGACAAGTACTGGTGGTTTAAGTGATAATCCACCTTAAAGGCTTAACCACAGTTGCAGTTGGGCACGGACCATTGTCCCACAGCTGATACCCGGAGGTGGGCACCATCCACTGCCCTGGAGGGTACCGCAATGACGACCAAAACAGACTATCACGCAGCCACGGACTCCAAACGGAAGACTACAGACTGTAGGCTCACACCCCATAATAAGCCAGCAAAATCCCCACCAAAAAAAAAAAAAAAAACGATCTCCAACAGGCAAAAAAAATGCCAGAAATTTGTAGCCTCACTTAAAAATTCATGGGCTCATGTAACAAACACATCGCGTCCTTTGTGAATATAAAGCCTCAGACATCGCAGTCAACTTCCCCTCAAAAGTTCTTCTTCTTCTATCTTCTTCTATCTTCTTCGTCTTCTTCTTTCTTCTTCTTTCTTCTTCTTCTTTTTCTACTGCTTGCTTCTCCTTCTTCTCCTTCTTCTCCTTCTTCTCGTTCTTCTCGTTCTTCTCCTTCTTCTTCTTCTCCTTCTTCTTCTTTGTGCTTCTTCTTCTTCTTCTTCTTCTTCTTCTTCTTCTTCTTTCCTCTTCCTCTGCTTGCTTCTTCTTCTTCTTCTTCTTCTTCTTCTTCTTCTTCTTCTTCTTCTTCTTCTTCCTCCTCCTCCTTCCTCAAAGTTCCTTTCTGTGTTCTTTTTCTTTTTCTTCTTTCTTCTTCCTTTAAAAAAAAAAAAAAATTGGACCATTTAAACCGTTTCTCAATTAATGTGTGTCATCCTTGTGCAGGGGCCATGCTAATCTTTGCTTTTTTCTTTTTCTTCTTTCTTCTTCCTTTAAAAAAAAATAAAAATGGACCATTTCTCAATTAATGTGTGTCATCCTTGTGCAGGGGCCGTGCTAATCTTTGCTGTATACTTATTCAAAGTTCTTTCTTCTTCTTGGCAATCAGACTCGACTCCAGACTTGCTCACAACATGCATACACAAGACTGATGGCGGAATCAAAATCTTCAACTCAGAATCAACAATGAACTTGCACTTAAACCCTGTTCAAAACGACTGTACAACTTGCGGCTATGGCCCGCTGAACACTGTCTCAACCACCGGCCTCACTCTCCCTTATGCACGCACACACGAGGATCACCCTGAATGTCCACGCTACACTCACACACACACACACACACACACTCTCTGTACACTCTGTCTGAGTCAGCAGCTGGGTGGCTATGCCCGCCGTTGTCTTCCTCCTCCTAGCTATGGCCGCCGGTGTCTTCCTCACTGGCCAGCTATGGACGCTGTCTACCTCACAGCCCACTTCCTCTCTGGGCACCTGCAGACCTCCACACACAAGATACCAAGGCAGCTCTTCCACATGGCTCACAGGCGACTGAATGAATGGCTGGACGCTGCCTCTTTATTTATACGTCTTCAGATGTACCTGGGCCCTGCCTCAAAACGTGTGGGCCTGGGCCAAAACGTGTGAGGCCCGGGTCTGGACGTTTCCAAACCGCGTGGAACTCCCTGGGCCAAATCGTGTACAGCAGCTGGGCCCCAAAACGCGTATTCTGGAATCTTCTCCAGAACGCGTGGGCCTCCCTGTTTCCCCACGTGCAGCCGCCCCTACCCCTGGTACTTGCTGACTGGACTGACCTACAGGGACCTACGACCTTCTAGAGCCGACAGACTTACAGACAGACTCTAGGCCTCAATAGACTCGGGGGGAGAGACTTCTAGAACAGACCTTCCTACGCCTAACGGCAACAGACCTAACTCCTAAGCTACAGACCTAGGGATCGAATCTTACACAGATCGCTGGGCCTACGTTCAGGGTACAGGGTAGGTCTAGGGGTCGAATCTCACTCAGCACACAGGCTCAATGTACAGGGTCTGGGCACAGGTCTAGGGATTGAATCTCTGTGTCTGCAAATGTCGGGTCTACTGGGTGGAACCATTTCATCTTCTTCTAAAGAAAAAAAAAAAAGAACTTCGAGGAAGAAGAAAGAAGAAGAAAGAAGAAGAAGACGAAGAAGACGGTGAATAAGATGAAGAAAGAAGAAAGAAAAAGCAGAAGCAGCAGCAGCAGCAGCAGAAGAAGAAGAAACAAGCAGAAGAAGAAGAAGAAGAAGAAGAAGCAGAAGAAGAAGAAGAAGAAGAAGAAGCAAGCAGAAGAAGAAGAAGATTTCTTCTCGACATACACAAAATAAGTGTGTTCATCTGGCGCTGAAGAGATGTCTCTCCAGAAGGGTGGCTGCCTGAACCAGCCAGATAGCAGATAACCCAGGTGAGGCAAGTATCTGGTCAAGTTTTTCTGCAATATACATTGTACTGTGACTGCCTTCAGTTGTCTAAGATGAGATCCAAGACATGCAATCGCACGGAGTGCCTGTTTTCTTCACCTCTCCTTTCCCTCCCCTCCCCCCTTCTTTCCCTCTTTTTTTATGAAAAAGGGTGGCGGGCACTGAACTGACCAGCTCCAGGGATTCAGAATGATTCTATCAGAAATTATCCTGTTCATCTGGTTGCATCTGGATTTCTGGATTCGAATTTGGGTCTGTATTTCAACAGTCCATGCCATCTTCATGGGTATTGCAACTGATCTAGGGTCGCGTTTTTTTTTTTTTTGTTGTTCCCTGCCCTGATGCACATGTTCTTACCACCATCTGATGACATCTGTGTGTTGTTGGTGTGCAAAAAAAAACAAAAAAAATGGATTGAGACCGTTTGACAGCCTGATACGCTTCTGTTCAACGTTCTTCCATTTGCGGAAGATATTCGGGAGTACACATTTCCATCCCTCACTTCATTTCCCCAAGAAATTCTGCCGACAGAGGCTGAGATCGCTGCAGCAGAGAAATTGATCTGCTCAATGGACTTAGCGACTCGGGGACGAGAAGAGGCGCTCCGTCCAGAAACGACTCTCAACCCGCTCTTGCAGGTATGTTTTTCTTTGGTGCTCCGTCCAGAAACGACTCTTAACCCGCTTTTGCAGGTATGTTTTTCTTTTCTAAGTCTCTTCTCTTTTCTCTCCTCTTCTCTTCTCTTCTCTTCTCTCCTCTCCTCTCCTCTCCTCTCCTCTGCTCTCCTCTGCTCTCCTCTGCTCTCCTCTCCTCTGCTCTCCTCTGCTCTCCTCTCCTCTCCTCTCCTCTCCTCCTCTTCTCTTCTCTCCTCTCCTCTCCTCTTCTCTTCTCTTCTCTTCTCCTCTTCTCTTCTCCCCTTCTCTTCTCTTCTCCTCTCTTCTCTTCTCTTCTCCTCTCTTCTCCTCTCATCTCCTCTCCTCTTCTCCTCTCTCCTCCTCTCTCCTCCTCTCTCCTCCTCTCCTCTGTTCTCTCCTCCTCTCCTCTCTTCTCTCCTCCTCTCCTCTCCTCTTCTCTCCTCCTCTCCTCTCCTCTCTCCTCTTCTCCTCTCTCCTCCTCTCTCC